GGCTCTCACTACCAATTCACAGGAGCTGGAGCTGAGTCACCTGGGGATCTTGTAAAAATGTTAAAAATGCACATTCTGATTTAGTAGGTCTGGAGTGGAGTCCAAGATTCTACATTTCTTAGGAACTCCTACGTGACGCAGATACTTGCTCCTCCACGTTTTAGTAGCGAGGCTGTGGGGAACAGAGGAGAAAACATGCAGGTGCAATCAGTAAGATTCAGATTAAAGGAAACTCTTCATGGCCACCCAATGTCTTAAGCAAAAGCTGGAGAAGAAACGTACGGATTTCCTATCGAAACCTAACAATCAGTTGCAATGTGTAGCCTTTGTTTAAATCCCACGTCAGAAGGCAAATACTTTTTAGGACAAATGTGGAACAGGAAACCCTGGATATTTGCTGATACTGGGAATTATTGTTGGTTGGGAGAGATGTTGATAATGGTATGATGATTATGTTTTAAAACGTGAGTCTTCAGAAGGCTACTACCTTTTTTTCCCCCTAAGATTTTATTTGTTTGACAGAGAGAGAGAGAGAGAGAGAGAGAGAGAGAGTGCGCGCGCACTCGCGCGCCAGCGCGCAGAAGCAGGGGGAGCAGAAGAGGGAGAAGCAGGCTTCCCGCGGAGCAGGGAGCCAGAAGCGGGGCTCCATCGCAGGACCCCGGGACCATGACCCCAGGCTAAGGCAGATGCTTAACCCGACTGAACCACCTAGTCGCCCCCTAAGGGACTATGAGACATCCAATAAAAACTGTCCGGGCGCCTGGGTATCCATGCTTCCTGCAGCCACAATTCTGAGCCTAGAGACTTTGTCTTAGATCCAAAAAAAAAAAAAAAAAAAAAAAAAATCCTTGCTTACTTTTCTTGTTTCCCTCCTAACTGAAGAGGGTGAGCAGACTCTGAGCCCCTGGTTTCCTGGTGATGACCAGGGGAAAAGGAGGATGGTCTCTCTTGGGCTCCTGTCTTCATCCTCCTTTTGTTGTTGGCAACAGTCTTGGCTTGGATTTGATTTTTCAGGGAAGCAAAGCATACTGTCCATAGGGGAGTTTTGCCCTGCCGTACATCGGCTAAAAGAGTGGTTCTCCAAGGTGAATGTGGGTTGGAATCTCCCGGAGGATTTGTTAAGACTGTTGGACTGCACTTGCAGAGTTTCTGAGTCAATAGGTCTGGGGTATGGACCTAGAAACGTGCATTTCTAAGAAGTTCCTAGGTGCTGCTGCTGGGCTGGGGGGCGGCCCTTTGAGAATCACTGGCCTGAACAATGAGCCTCAAGCAAGACTATAAGGACAAACTCCGGCCAGACCAGAAAATGCAGAAAATCTCATCCATGATCATGCGCTTTGTGCTTCATTGGCACGGGTGCCTGCAATTTTTTCCAAGGAAGACTTTGTGACTTGATGATTTCCACTTGTAGAACCAGTTGAACTGGATATTTATTATCAGATATTTACTTGGACCAAAGAAACATAGTTAAAAGCTCTGTAAAAAGAGAAGATGATGGCACCCTGCCTTCCCTGCAGGGGTAGTTCCCTTAAACCCACTCTTCATGGATCTGTACCGCTGACTCCTATTTGGACCAAAAGCAAAACAAGCAAACGCATGGTCAGAACTCAGCCGTGGCCTCTTCCCTGCAGTCCTATCCCCCACCCCGCTCTCCCCAAGCTCTCTGCTTACACCTGATTTCAGAGTCTTCTATTCCACCACTGAAGGTAGTTGCTAAGGCATATTGTTACTATAAATCAATTTCAAAATCAGTCGCCAACGGTAGGTCCTAATGTTAAATTATTAGGTTATATTCATTGAAAGAAATGACAACAATGGGGAGAGTTGATGACAGCATCAAAAAAACTTTAACACAGTCCCAAGAAGACCAACACTGGTGTCTTTGGAGAAACATCCTTTGTGTCCCTGATGCTGCTTACCAATGGCCTTTGGCTTAGCACTGTCTCTCTGTGCAATTGTAATTAAAACCCAGGTGGCTGGTTTTGATCTTGAACTAGGATGGTCATTGCCAATAAGAGTTCCTGCGTAGGAGGAAAACTCCTCATCATTCCCTAGCAGGACCTGCAGAAGGAGGATTTATATCCAGTGGATTCTCTATTTCAGTGGTGCTAAAAGTCACAATGCTTTGCACTGTAACATCCTGAAATCCAGATACATCTTAAGGCAGATGGCATTTTATAATCACGGTTGGCCAAGTGGGGGTCAAGATGTGTTGTCAGTGCCTGAACATGCACAAACTCAGTGGTTAATCCTGGTGGAATGACTTGGCACCTGTAATCTCCATGTTTCTGTCAACAAATCACCTAAGGACTGTCTGGAAAGGAAACATGATGTCTATTGTCTGAAAACTTTCCCTTGCAACTTTCAGGTAAGATCAAGAACGTGCCAGCATCAAAATATGTACACCAGGTTTGGAAGCATTCAGGAGAGAAGTGAAATTAAAAAATGCTGCATCACCAATGCCTGGTAATTCACAACACGAGGACACCAATGACTCAGTTGAAAAATGACTAAGAAAAAGAATAGAGGTTCTGAGTGTGATTATAGGAATTCCTTAATAAGTTTATTGTGCTTATATTTTCCTTTTTATATACACACAAGAGTGATATAAAATAAGTATGTCTAAGTCTAAAAGCTCTCATTCAATAAATACTTAAAAAGTCTAAAAGATAAAAAACATTACAAAGAGTTTTGGGGCACCTGGGTGGCTCAGTCGTTAAGTCATGATCCCAGGGTCCTGGGATCGAGCCCCGCATAGATCAGCCCTGCTCAGCGGGAAGCCTGGTCCTCCCTCTCCCACTCCCCCTGCTTGTGTTCCCTCCCTTGCTGTGTCTCTCTCTGTCAAATAAACAAAATCTTAAAAAAAAAAAAAAACCATTACCAAGAGTTTAATTGGGTATATCTTTTTTTCCAATAGCAGCTCTCAACCTTTTTGATCTGAGGACTCCTTTTATACTGGAGATTGAGGATCCTAAAATTCTTTCGTTTATGTGGTAATATCAATCAATATTTATCATATTCAAAAAATTTTTTGAGACAGAGAGAGTGCATGTGTTCGTGTGAGAGCAGGAGGGGCAGAGGAAGGAGAGAAATCTTAAACGGGCTCCATGCTCAGCGCTGAGCCCCATGTAGGGGCTTGATCTCACCACCCTGAGATCATGACCTGAGCCCAAACCAAGAGTTGGACGCTTAACAGACTGAGCCACCCAGGCACACCTCATATTCAAAATTTAAAGAGACTTTTAATACCACAGAACACACAAGCACAGATTCTATTAGCTGTCAGAGAGATAATGGTATCACCTAGCCTCTGAAAAGCTCCAGTGTGCACTGGTGAGAGAATGAGATCCAAAGGGGCAGATCATGTTGCTGTGTTCACAGGAAGAGAGTTTTCACCTTGTGGATCCTCCGAAAGGGGAGCCCACTTTCAGAATCACTGGTATAATGGTGTGTTTTACACCAGTAGAGTTAATACAGACATGTTTCCACCTTAAGTACTGGAAGGAGTAGAACGTGGAAAACTGGTGTTGGACAATTGGGAGTGCTGCGAGGCATGGAGAAATTAGCTGATTAAACGTCCTCTGGGGCTGTGAGGAATACTCCCCCTCCCATTCAAGTGGCCAGCTCACACTGGGTGTCCTGCAGGCCTGAGTCATTCCGACCCTAGGAGAAGGTACCCACGGACCTGGGTTCCAGGACGGTGGAACTGGCTGTCTAGGAGGAGGACAGAAGTTGGGACAGAGGAAAGGAGGAGTGTGGTTTGCTCCCCAGGGGAAGAAAGCTGGATTTTTCTGGAGACAAACAGAGGAGCTGGGGCGTGCAGTTTCTGGAGATCTGGGGAGGCCTGCAAATGGCTGTGTGGGTATCGGCTGATGGACACTGGGGCGCCAGCCAGAGTTCCCCTGGACAGTCAGGCCTAGAGAGGGCAGTGCCTGGGGAGCTGCTGGCCTTCAGAACACCATGCGGTGTCGAGCAAGCAGAGGTTAGTGCCAGGCACCACAGACTGCTGACCAGAAGCTCCTTCTGCCACTGCCACTGTCCTAACCTGGTAATCCTCAAACCCCACCCCAGTGTTGGCTCTAGAAACTACAGCAGCAAAGTAGTCACCAGCAGGTCTGAGATCACCGGCATGAATTTGATTTCTAGCGCTGCCTTACTGGCTGGGATGGCATTGTCAATAGAACCTACTTGGCAGGATTCCCCCCGCCCCCCAACAGCAAGGAAGTGGTGCGTGGAAGCTCCTCAAACAGTGCCTGGCATCATAAATTCTGTACATATCATCTCTTGCACTTTGGATGTCCTGGAGATGTCATACCTGCCACACCGCGTCCTCCGAGTGTTGCTATGGCTAAAGTTTCGCCCTATGTTTAATTGATTAAAGCCCTAAGGCTGGAGTCCAGGGGACCAAGAGCGTCCTGGAAATTGCAGAAGTGCTCTACTGAACAGAGGGTGGCAGAGGCTGTGTGTGTGTTGGGGGGGGGCGGGGGCCACAGAGCCGGCCACTCCAGCCTGCAAGGTCTTCCTATTCTAGTCCATGGCACTGGGTCCTGCCAAGCAAACCCTTACGGGCTTCAGAGGGACTGAGGGCTTTTCTTTGAGTGTGAGCACGGGCGTCCCACGCAGGGCACAGCCAGATCAGTGCAAACTCCCTGAGAGTCCACAGGGGCCTGGATCCTCTGGGGGGGGCGCGGGGGGGGAGTCGTGGCGCCTGTGAGTCTGAGCCGGGGAGGTGGGCGTGGGCAGGCATAGGCAGGCACCGGGCCGGGCCGTCAAGGCTTCTGCCACCTGCCGTAGCCCGTAGCCAGGGTATCTGGACTTGCCTGGAACTCTGTCCCCGCTTCCGGACTGCCCCTCTTCCCACATGCGTCCCGCCCCTCGGCTGGGCGTGGCCTGCTCCTACCCTTGCCTTCCCCTCCAGGGGGCGGAGCTGGGGGAGGGGTCCACGAGCGAGTCACGTCCAACAGGCGGAGCCGAGCACTAGGGGGCCGGCTGGGGAGGCGCCACATCCGGCGGCTGACTCGTCGTGTATAAAGCCGAGGCCGCCGCAGTCAGCTTCCAGCAGTAGCCCTGGGCTCTTTTCGGCTGCGGGAGCCGCTGCTCCAATGCCCCACAGCGGCCATGAGCATCCCACACTGGTGGGACCAGCTGCGGGCCGGCAGCTCGGAGGTGGATTGGTGCGAGGACAACTACACCATCGTGCCTGCCATCGCCGAGTTCTACAACACGGTGCGGGAGCGGGAGCAGGGATGGCAGGCGGGCTGGAGGGAGGGGACCGCCCCTAATCGTGGCTGCGCCTGGAACCTGGACGTGGGTCTCTGCGTGTATTTGGGGTATGCTCTCTCCAGGGCCAGAGTCGATCCGCGCGCCCCCTCCTCTGCGCTCTTTCTAGCTCTCCATCTGTCCTCTTCTGTCCCTCTCCCGACATCTGGGCTCATCCTCCCCTTGTCATTTCCGTCTGATGGCTCTATTGTCTTGTTTGACCGGCACCTGTCTCGAAGCCCGTGGTCCGTGTCAGCCCTTCGCCCAGGTGGGTGACTCAGGGGCTGGTGAACCCGCCGGGACAATTCCCTTCCTCCCCTAGGATCTCTGTGGTGTGACGCACTTGGGTCTCATTGTGCGGTTTCTCCCTGAATACCTGCTGGGGGGGGGCGGGAGGAGGGAGTCCCCGGGCAGGTCTCAGGAGCAGGGCCCAGGGCTGCCGTGCTGACTGGCCCCGCCCCACTAATACACCAATAATAGGTCGAGTTACTTTTGGCCAGAATCACGTTAATTGCTACTAGTTCCTAGTTCTTTGCCTTTGGTTACCAGGCACAGTCCAGCCCCCAAGTCAACTCCCCCAGGCCCGTGCCCTCTCCAGTGATTAAGCCTGGGGAGTGAGCGGGAAGTTTGGGAGTGATTGTGTGCGTGTTTCATGGGCTTGCCTCGGTCCCTGCTACGGGCAGGCTGAGACTTCCCCACTGCAGTAGCCTGTGTGCTGTTAGTATTTATGGGAGGGAAAGCTTGATGCTGGCAGGAAATGCCTCTTCTTTTCGCTGTGCGGGTGGCTCCGGGTTCTCAGACCAAATAGAAGACTCTGCATGGTCATTTCTGCAGCTGCTCAACCACACACAGACACACAAAAACAGGAACTCCTGGTTTACAAGTCACTGTGAATTTGAGGTTGTTCTTTCGGATTTTCTCCTTGGATTTGCTGGAGAGAATATACTTGGCATGAGTCCGTCTGGAGGGATCTCCGATGAGCTTGTCCCAGCCCTTTCATTCATTGATGAAACTGAACTGTAGAGAAGGGAGCGGTCATACTCATGTCTCCGGCACAATCCAGAAGTCTGCGCTCTCCCTCCTTCTGCCCTCGCAAACACTCCTGCTTCTTAATTAGGACCAGGTTAGTTCTTCAGGAAAACCTGGCCCTCTGCTGTCTATAGATCCTGTAAAAGACTAGTGGAGGTGGCTACAGCTCACTTGTTGAACCCCTTCTTTCAGGGTTTACTCTTAGGGGTAGACGTGGGGGCGGGGCACACAGGATGGGCTGGGGATGGCTGGGTACTTCCAGTAGCCGTAACTCATTTTCTCCTTTTATAAGGTGGAGAGTACTATTAAGGATTTCACCAGAGAGTTAAGGAACAAATGACAGGCTGGGGACAAGTTCTCACACACCCAGCAAGGTAATGACCTGTGGAGACCGAGGCCAGCTGAGAGTCAGGCCTGGTTCCTTGGCCAGAAGTTCATTTATAGCTGTTCTGTGCCCGTCTTGAAAAGCCCCAGAGTGCTGGATGAGGGGGGAGACTTTATGTTGTTGCTACTTTTAATCTAGTCCCTTTGGAGCTGTTGTGGAGTGAGTGCCAAAGTTTTTTTTTTTTTTAGAAACGAAGTGTTGCTCTTCTCTTGCAGTGTCTGTAGGTGATTAGCCTGGTTGGTCCTCCTTGACAGGCCTTATTCTTTGGAATACTCCTACAAACCACAAAATTTGCTTTAGCCCCACAGAGAGCTTTAAACCTCAGAGCAGTAGTTGGTCACGTAACTTTGTTGAGTCTAGGTCCAAAGAGCTTAGCAAAAACTGTTTCCTTCGCTCTGTTTCCATGCCCTACTTATTTCTGAAGCTTATCATAGGACAAACCCATGCTTATCCTTCTCTCGTATTGAGGAAGACAGTCAACTATTACACGGTGATAAACAGCTCATTAAATCCTCATAGGAAGGCCGCAGATCTAATTATCCATTTTAGAAACATCATTACTAATTTTGAGGAAAAGTTTAAGGAACTGAAGATATACAATCGGGAGGACTAGGAGCGGGATCTAGAACCTTCTTAAGGGGTCTTGGGGGTAGCACATCACTACTACAACTGCAGTCACTACTGGCTACCATGAATTGTTTGCTAGGTGTTGAACCTCTGCTGCATAGTGTACAATCACCCTCAGTGGTGGGCCCTCATTATTAGATCCACTGGATAAAAGGAAGAAACCAGGGTCTGGAGAGATGACGCAATTTGCTGAGGTAAAGAAAATGGCAGAATTAGAGTTAGAACTCGGTCCATTTGACTCTACAAAGGTACTCCTCCTGAAGATGCAAATGCCGTATAGCTCCTTTTGACTTCTTTATTCTCCACAGCACAGCTGTTTATGATTGAGCCATTCTTTAACTGGAAACTCCTGCATTGGGACCATATGAACCACAGGATAAAACTCATGATGTTGGATATGAAAAAGTTTGTTTAGTTTTTTGTTACAGTTGCCTGTATTTTAAAATGTTCACCTTAAAAATGAAAGTTACTTTACCAGCAAACATGGGTTTATTTCGGAAAAAGAAAACTGCCATTCAGGACAAGCGAGCTATAGGAAAGCCATGGGCAAGACCAACAAAGGAGAGGAATGTTATCTTATGGAAAAGGAGGAAGTCGGGAGGGGTTGTTTTGAACTGGAGAGCTCAGGGTGATTGTTTCCCATTGGCTGAGTTGCAGGGGTAGTGAATTTCTTGTGGGAGATACAATGTACATCTTTCCCTGTTGGGGCCTGGAATAGACCATTGGTTCCTGTTGGGGAATCTTCTGTTAGGGGTCTGTAATTGATATTGAGTGGTTGGTGTGGGCTTCCCCCTGGAGCCTTCCCTTCTTGCATCTGGAGTCTAGGTCAGTGAGGTTTCCACTTACCAATTTTCACAAAGTAGCATGGTCCTGGTAAAAAATTGAGTGTGCAAGTTATAAAGTGAAAAATCTGTTTTTGTGTCTTTTCAGACCTTTTTTCAGGCATTGTACAAAACACTTGCATTTGTTGAGTATATAAAATACATATGTCTAATGTATACACACAATATCTAAGTTTTTATTTAACCCAGTTGAGATCACACTACACAAGCTCCTCTTGATGTTTTCACTTAATAGATCTTAGAGATGGTCCTATATTGGCTCTGAGTTATTTTCCTCTTTACAATGTCTAATCAGTGTTGCATTTAATGGATTGACCGTGATTTATTCACCCACTCAGTCTCTTATTGGTGGACTCCTAGGGCGGTTTGTTTTATGCTTTCAATTTGGTTTCTAGAGAGCAGTGATGCAATGAATATCCTTGCATGTGCATCTGGATGTGCTTACACAAGTACGAATCCTCTAGAGTGAATTGCTGGACAAGGAGAGTGTTTACTCAAAGACTGATAATTATTGCTAAATGGCCCACCAGAGAGTACCCTGGTTTATACTCCCACTGACAGTGTTTGGGTGGACAAAGCATTTTGCTTTGGGGCCCTGCAAATCTCTGTTGCCTCAAGACTTGTCATCATCCTTTGCTTCAGCCAAGCCCAGATCTCCCTTCCAAGAACATGTCATGTTCTTCCACCGCCTTTTGCTTCTGCACATTTTGTACTGTTTCTTCCACATACAAATTTTATTGACTTGAGTTCCTTTTTATGTTTTAAATTTCCAGGCTCTAGTCACACTGAAGAGAACTCCTCTAGAACGCAATGCTTTAGAGAAAAGTAGCATCTGCTTTTTAACCACTGGCTTAGCTTTTGGGGACTCTGTTGCTGGGCAGGGACTCAGGGGCTCAGGAGGAAATCCACTGGTGCTGAGAAAAAGTCTTGAAGCAAAATATATGCATAAAACCAGCCCATCATCTGTCGCCTTTCTCAAGGAGCTCTGCCACCCATCAAGATAAGGAAGTTAGTTCTGATATGCTAGAGCCCGTGTCCCTGTCGGGCAGAATGACCTATATCCTGTCTCTGTTCATCTCTAGATCTGTCTGTTTACTGGGCAGCTACCGTGTGCTTGTCACAGAGACCAGACCTGCAAACAGTCATCTGGGTGGTGACGGCCAGACCAGAGAGGTGTACAAATTGGCAAGGGTATTATTAGTATTCTGCATGGGCTTGGTGTGCTGTGGGGGAATTTCGCAAGAGGTCTTCTGAGTGAGGTGGCCAACTTGTCCTGGTTTGTCCAGGCCTTGCCCGATTTTGAAGCTGAAAGCCCCATGCCCTGGGGAACCCTCCTCAGTCCCAGGCCAGCCAGGACATTTGGTCATCCCAGAGGAAGGAGGGGAGCAATGGAATGGAGGATTTGAAATCTGCATGCAGTCAAGATGCACAGACCACCTACCCAGCCAGGGGAATACCCCTTAGCTGTTTCTGAACCTCCTGTTCAGAAACACTTACAGCCTGTTGCTTTGTCAGCATTTACCCTCTGCCTGGGAAAGTGCACACTCCCATGCATTGGGAGGAGATTGCTGTCTGTTCCTGAGATTATTTTGGTGCGATGTTATGGAGGAATTCGTGGAATGAGGAACTTTCTAAGGAAATAATTAATACATTTTAAAATTGCGGTTTCCTTTTAATTAAAAAAAAAAATCTGTTCTGCAGACATTAAGCAAATTAGTTCTCCAAAACAGTAGGCTTTAAAAAATACCCTTGGCTGAACTATTCAACTTGAGTGACCCACACAATTGTTAGGGGAAGTTTCATTTCTCAGAAGAGATGGAGCTACTAAATGTGTGTTTTAACCAGGGCTCGTTTGCTTTTCTGTATTTCTTTCGGAGTTCCTTCCTCTTTTTGTGTTGGGGAGAGAGAGTCTCCCTCCGATTTGGTCTTTCCCTTTTCATAGGTGGAGGGCTTTAAAAGGCATGGTGAGTGCTGTGAATTGTGTAAGACTGTTGAATCACAGATCTGTACCTCCGAAACAAATAATACATTATATGTTAAAAAAAAAAAAAGAAGATAGCAGGAAGGGAAAAATGAAGGGGGGAAATTGGAGGGGGAGAGGGACCATGAGAGACTATGGACTCTGAGAAACAAACTGAGGGTTCTGGAGGGGAGGGGGGTGGGGGGATGGGTTAGCCCGGTGATGGGTATTAAGGAGGGCACGTACTGCGTGGAGCACTGGGCATTATACGCAAACAATGAATCATGGAACACTACATCAGAACCTCATGATGTAATGTATGGTGACTAACATAACATAATAAATAAATAAATAAATAAATAAAAGGCATGGTAGAGGCCGGCTGTCATTGGTAGCAGGGCTACGGAGAGGCAATAAGGTGATTTCCCTGTTATCTGGGAGATGTTCAAATGGTGCTTCTAAGTTGAACTCCTTAATATGTGCATTAAGAAAAAAAAGGTTGAAGTCCCATGACTTTCCTGCAGGTGTAATGAATGACTTCATGCCTTTGTGAGTAGTGTGTAAACATTTAAACGTGATTAACACAGAAACCAGCATTGCACTGTATGTTACCTAGAATTTAAATACAAATTTGAAAAGAAAAAAAAAAGATAGGAAAAAAAGTGAAGAACACAAGCCAACAGAGCTTGTTGGGAGTTGGCTTGGCAGGAGCTGGTTGCACTCGTAAGGGAGATTGCAAGGACTTGAGGCAGTGAAGACAGGGTAAAAAGCAAACCATGTCCTCCCCCCCCCCCCGCCCCCGGCCTTTGTAAGAGGGGCTGTACATTGGGGCTCCTTCCCCTGGGGAGGGACTAGATAAACCGCTCCCACGTGTGGCACTTACAGCAAATGAGGTCAGTCTATCTGAACTACGGGGAGAAGGTTTGCGTAGCCTATTGTTGAAGGCAGAGTGATAATGTTATTTTATGTGATATATATGTATTCACATAGATGCAAGGAAGATGACTCAAAGGCTGTGAATCTGAGGATAACCATTATCCCTCGGGAGGAGGATGGCAAGGAGACTTTCAAAAAAAAAATTACAGAATGAAATAGGAGAACACATATATGTCTAAGAAAGGAGAAAGATCAGGTTTTGAGTTACCTTTGGTATAATAATTCCATTTTCCCTTCTTCCCCTTTCCTTCCTTCTCTGCTTAACAAAAGGAGTCACACTTAAATCACATCACAGGTGTGCAATGCAGGGATAAGTCAGGATTTTTAGAGAACCAGTGAGGAGTTAAGCCAAGGAGGTCAGAGTGTGGCTGGGGGTGGTGGGGTGGGGCTTGGTGGGGAAAATCAGCTCTGGGCAGGGGAAGCTAAGTGAAAGAGGCCAGACACAAAGGTCATAGTGTGTGTGATTCCACTTTCATGACATACCCAGAATAGGTCAACTCATAGACACGGAAAGCAGATTAGCAGTTGCCAGGGGCTGGGGGTCGGGGCTGGGGGGGGGGGGGGGAGGGGAGCGGAAAGTACCTGCTTAATGGGTATAGGATTTCTTTTTCAGGGTGATAAAAAGGTTTTAGAACTAGGCAGAGGTGATGGTTGCGTATTCTGAGGGCATTTAATGACATGGAATTGTATACTCTAAAATGGTTAATTTTATGTGATGTGAATTTTGCCTTGATTTAAAAAAATTGGGAAAACAAAAAGGGGAGCTGGCTGTGACCTCCTAAAAACAAAAAGACAAAAAAAAAATTAAAAACAAAAACTAAAGGGGAGATTCCAGAGTTACGTGGACCAGTATGGTCATCACTAGGCACCTGTAGTTGTTAAGCATGTGGAATACAGCTGGTTCAGATGGAGACAGGCTGTAAGTATGAAGTTCACTCTGGACTTCAAAGCTTTATGTGAACAACAGAATGGAAAATACCTCGTTAATGGTATTTAAATAGTGATTAGGTGTTGAAATGACAGTAATTTGAATATATTAGAGAAGATCATAAAGCCAGCTCCCCCTGCCCATAACAGGCTTAAATCCATACTAAAATGTGAAAGTTTGATCTTTACCTAAAAATAGATTTGATTAGGGGAAGAAATTGACAAAGGCAGACCCTGGAAACTAGGAAGCATCCTGCCTTCGTGTGGGCGCCGGAGAAAAAAGCTGGCCTTGCTAGCAGAAAATTTGGGGGAGCTGGGATGTCTAGTACTCACCTCCATATTAAGCTTTATTTTTTACCATTACTAAGTGTGGGCCTTACCTTTAAAAATGTATGTGCAAGTAGATCAAAGTGCTTCACAGTTAGTCTTGGGCAGAAAAAGAAGATTCTTGGAATCCAGAGAGGGGGCTGGGCAGCTTTCATAGATTGATCATGGGAGCAGCTATTAAAATGCTGCAAAGAGATGGGAAGAATCCCCCAAATGGCCATAAAGGAGGCTTAAATTTCCCTGTATCTGCAGTTAAAAAAAAAGAAAGAAAAAAAAAGAGATGTAAGAGCTTAAACAAGACGTGTGGCCACATTCATCCCAGTGTGCAAAGCTCATATCTGGAACACGCTGCTTTATTTTTTTGCCCCTTTACTTAATATTCATCTTTTCATTTTCCACCCCCCCCAGATCAGCAACGTCTTATTTTTCGTTTTACCGCCCATCTGCATGTGCTTATTTCGCCAGTACGCAACATGCTTCAACAGTGGGATCTACCTAATATGGACGCTCTTAGTTGTAGTGGGTAAGTGGATTCGTGTTCGAACAGGGGCTGAAAGGGAGGACATGGAACTCTGCACACTTCCTGTCCTACTTGAACATTATGTTTTGTAAACCAAGGTCACTCTGACGTCTTAGCGAACTTTTATTTTTGCTTTGACGCCAGAAGGAGGACGCTTCTGGACACGGGCTGGACACCAGGGGGGACGCCAGTGATCACTTAATGGCACGTGAGGGCTTATTTCTCTAACAGCTGTGGGGGCTGTGCCAGTGCTATTTTCTGAGGACTTGTGAAGAAAATCACACAAAAGCGATTGAGCTCTGATGAGACTTTAGTGGATCAAAACGAGAAAAAAAAAATTCTGGATGTTTGATCCTTCATTGTTCTGGGAAATGCTTGTATAATTTCCATTTCCTTCCACAGGCGGATTGGGAATTCTTAACAGCGAGACAATGTTGACTTTTATTGAAAGCCTCTTCCCCCCAAAGCCTCAGCCTCGTGGTGGTGGAAGACAGAGTGTTTAACTGGCATTACTCAAGCTCTGATGTGCTGATCTTGGGGCCCTGCTTGCAATCCTCTTTCTAGGCTTCAAGGCTGCCTGTCTGGGTGGTGTGTGTTTCCTCCTTCAGCTGCTTCTTTCAGTGAGAGTGTGATCTGGTGATTGTGACCGTGGTTGGTCGAAGGGCTGGCCTTCAGCAGTGTGTTGGATTTGTGGGTCTGTTCTTCTGTGGTGACTTTTTTTTTTATTGGTTGTAATTGATTCTAGGAATTGGATCTGTCTACTTCCATGCAACCCTAAGTTTCTTGGGTCAGATGCTCGATGAACTTGCAATCCTTTGGGTTCTGATGTGTGCTCTGGCCATGTGGTTCCCCAGAAGGTATCTACCAAAGGTCTTTCGGAATGACAGGTAAGCTTGTGTTAAAACAGTTATGTTTTACTGCTGAGTGCAGCACACCCAACATCTCCATGTATGTATCAGGAAAACAGCACACAGTGGCGCCTCACCTTATGATGAGCTTATCAGATACTTGTTTAATATCCACTGATTGTTTATGCTTTTAGACCGTACACTGATGAAAGAGGGAATTTTAATATGCTTGGCGAAGAATTTATAGGATATTAGGGGTAAACGGTCAAGTGTCTCCCTTATAGGATATGAACAAAAGTGGAAAGATTTTCAGTGGGGGAGAAATTACTGAATGGTAGTTCAGAGACCTTTGATTTTCTGCTAGAACATTTCCTTGAGTCCAATCCAATTCTACCATTTGATAAGTTTCTAGAATTCCATTAAGGAATTGGTTTTTGTAGCTGTAGATCCCATGGTTGTCAAATGGTATTGGTTTTACCTCTGCTGAGATCTACACACACACACACACACACACACACACACACACACACACACACACACGCCAGGCTGGAAAACCAGAATTTCAGGAAGGGATGCTTATATGGTTATTCATCCAGTAAATATTTTTTTGAACCCTTACTCTGCATTTTTTCCAGACACTGGGATATAGCACTAAACAAAACAATAGAGCCTCTTCCTTTAGTGAACTCATACTGAAGTTGGGGAGGCTACAAATCAATGAACAAACAAACAATACAATGTTAGGATAAGTGCTATGATAAAAAAATGAAGCTGGAAAGGTGGTAGAGGTGACATAGGGTGCTCATTTGGAGTTTGGTCAGGGAAAGCCTTTCTGAGGAGCTGTATGAGGTTTGTTAATATCCGAAGGAACCGAGGAGAGTCAGCCTCATAAAGATGAGAAACGCTCCTAGAACATATGACCCACGCATATTTCTCTGTAGGACGCTGTGTTTTATATGGATCCATATTTTATATATGGGTAAATAGTCTAAAAACATGGATTCAATTAAGCAAGCTGTTGGTACCCAGGGAAGAGCTGTGCTAGGAAAATAAAGAAGTTTTCCTGGTACTGTGGATAGGAGTAGGAATTTTGGAGCTATTAAAGACAAAGGCTGTTCTCTATGGATGGAGGTGGGGAAGTGTCCATAAAACATGCTGGCTGCAAAGAGCACATGGTAGAACTGTGTGTGGGATAGCATAACTGTGGAATGAATTAACTAATCTCCTTTCGCGTCTAGGCCTTTGTGTGCGCATAGAAATACCTAGACGAGGAGGATAAACAGCCACTATCATTGGCTATTCTTGGGAATGGGGAAGGGGGGCGCCTGGGTGGCTCAGATGGTTAAGCGTCTGCCTTTGGCTCAGGTCACAATCTCCAGGTCCTGGGATGGAGCCCCACATCGTCGGGCTCCCTGCTCAGCAGGGAGTCTGCTTCTCCCTCTTCCTCTGCTCTCCCCACTGCTCCTACCTCTCTCTCTCTCTGTATCTCTCTGTCTCAAACGAATAAGTAAAAAATTCTTAGCTGTAGGACCCCGAACCCAAATGATCCTGCAGCAGCCCCTGGAACGAGGCCCCGCAGGTTGGGCCCAGTGTGACCCACGGGCCGCGTCGGGGACGCCCCGAGCCCAGGACATGCGCTCCCGTCTCCGAGGAGCTGTGCCCATGAGCACCAAGCGGCGCCTAGAGGAAGAGCAGGAACTCTTTGGAAAACAGTTCCTCTCTGAAGAGAACATGGCCAGCCACTTCTCTCCACTCAGCCTGCACAATGACCACCCTTACTGCAGCCCCCACTCAGGAGCCCTTGCTCTGAGCTGCTTCTCTCGCACTACCCTGGGAACCTGATCCCTGAGGCCCTCCGGCTCCTGAGGCTAGGGGACACCCCCACCCCACACTACCCTGCAACCCAAGCTGGGGAGGTAATGGAGAGCTCTGAGTGCTGGTGGGCAGTAGTTCTGCCCACCTTCCTTCTTCCTCACAACAGAGAAGACCACCATCCCCACTAAGGAACCAGGTGTTCTGAATATTCTCCAGAGCGGGCCTCTGGGCCCCAGGACGCACGCTCAACAGAGGAGGACACTGGATCCCACAGAGCCCTGGGGTGAGGGGCAGAGGGACGAGAGCACGGGAAGGGGGGCATCCCCCCCAGAACTGAGTAAAGATTGCTGAGCATATGAAAAAAAAATTTCTTAAAAAAAAAAAAAGGAATGGGGGAGGGAGTGGGGGAGAGAACTTTCACTTTTACCTTTAATCTATACTCTTGTGCAGGTTTGTTTTTTAAACAGAGAGCACATGTTACTTTTTAATACTAAAAATGCGTTTTTCAATGAAGTAGGGAGAAAACATACTTCAGATGAACCAGCTGTACCGTCTTCACTGTACAGAGCAGGGTTGGAATTAAATAGTGTTTTCTTTGACTGTCATTGAGCAGATAAAGGATCCTCAAGGTTACTTTTCCAAAAAACGAGAGTGAGAGAGCCAGCAGTTGATAAGAGGTGACAAGAAGGGCATTCCCGGCTTCAGGAGAAATACGGTCTCTGTTGGCTGTGGGCTTCTCAGTGGAGGAAGGAGGCTTCAGCGCGTGGCAGGTTGGCTGGGGCGGTTTGGTGTCTAGTCTTGTGCTTGCTTGTCCGGCTTCTGGAGAATGACAGGGAGTGCTTAGAAAGCCTCATGAGGTGGAGAAGGGGGGCAGCGCCAGGCAGGGTCAGGAGGGGCTTCGCAGGAGGGGCTTTTGGGCTCCGAGAAACATCGTTTACCTTTGGCCTGTCCTGTCGAGTCAGAGGGTGGCCACCAGGCACCTCCATCCCTGCCCGAGCCTGGTGGGTGGTAGGTGGAGAGCTGAGGAATCTCTTTGCTCTTAGATCTGATCTTTCAAGTCCTGGGAGCTGAGTGAGAAGCTTCACACAGGAGAATGGTTTTGTTCTTGGCACTCTGGAGGTGCCACTTGAAATTCCAAGCGACAGTTTTGTGTGTGTTCATAGTAGAGAATCTTTTTCTTTTATTTTCTTTCTTTCTTTCTTTCTTTCTTCGTCGTCGTCGTCTTCGTCATCTTTTTTTTTTTTAAGTAGGCTTCACACCCAGCGTGGAGCCCAACACAGGGCTCGAACTCATGACCCCAAGATCCAGACCTGAGCTGAGATCAAGAGTTGGATGCTTAACCACAAACTGAGCCACCCAGGCCGCTCCTGTCTTTTTGATTTCTTGAAGGGAGGGGTGAGGGAATGTTATGAGCAGGAGAAAAGAAAATGGGGCAATGGATGTAGTTATAAAGCTTACCAACTTTAATAATGAAACTGTACCGTGGGACAGAGAGGTGACCACTTAGGACTTTTTTTTATTGCCGGCACATTTCTCTGGGGAGATGTGACCATACTGTCTTCAGCTCGGAGAGAGTCCTTTGGAGCCCTGAGCACCAGAGATGTCTATGTCCCTGGTTTTGGAGACTCCCTGGGTTTGAATCCTAGCTTCCCTGCTTACAAACGGTGTGACTTGTCTTGACTCTTTCATTTTCTATTTCGTCATTTGTCAAATTAGGTAAATAATCCTCTCTTGAGAGGATCCTGCAGCACACTGTAGAGTGTTAGAAACATGGCGAGTGCTCAGAGTTAGCTTCCAGTACTGCCAATGACACGTGGAGATTTCTGCCTGGCATTTCTGAGACACACACACACACACGCACACACACACATGCGCGCACACACACACACACACACACACACACACACTGAAGGAGAGAATGGGAATGGGAGATGCGAATGAAGATAAGGCATATGTTATGGGAAAGTAGCACACTATAAATAAGGATTTCAACTCTATTTCTCTGCCTTCAACTTGCCAATGACAGGGACAACAAGAAGACAAAACCCCTTTTTGTGGGCCTCATTGCCCAGGACGGGGACAGGGGCAGCTCTGAGTCCAAGTGGCAGCCAGAACAAAAACTTCATGTCAAAACGAGGATTTCTCTAGACCAGGGATTGTGTGGTTTACCTATCCAAGTTAACGTCTCTTTTTGTGGTCTAGACTTTGCTGGAATATTTCTAAAAACACATTAAAAGTAGTTCCGGTGTGAGATTTCTGGAGAAGGGGCAACAGAGCATGGTGGCTAAGTGTATCAGACAGACATGGCTTTGGGTAATAGGGTTGGTTGGTTTGTTTGTTTTTTTAAAAGCTCTGGTACCTCATTTTGCTCATCTGTAAACTGCAGATATTAAGAGTATCTTATGGGGTTGGAAATATAGGGGGACATCCTAGAAGGTGTACAGTGTCTTGTCCAGAGTAAGGACTCAGTAAGGGCTACCAGTTGTTAAGAATAGCTAATATGGATAAGTTTTTTGAAGAATGTCTAGAACAGCAGGGAAAGTATTAAAGTTTACCATATAAATAGGAATAATTGGCAAGTCAAAAAAACCCACATTTTTTTTATCTTGCCTAGAATGTCCTAAGAATCATCATACACTCAGCTGCTGATGGTTATTAATAATTTTTAGACATTTGAGAAAAAAAAAACCCTAAGAATAAAGAACTATGACGGACTAATTGTTTCCATTTCTTAAAGATTTATCCTGCTGTGATTTTTATGATTTTGCCCTCACTTTATAATCCAATTCAGGTTTTGAATCCTGAGTTACCAGGCTGGGGTCTGGCCATCCTGCTCTAGCTGGATGACTAGGGGCTGGGGCCTTAGACTCCCTGGGCCTTATCAGTTCCTTACTTAGAAAAGGACATGGGTGGACCTTCCAGGACCAGATGCTGTAATTCTGTGACTATCATGGGCTAGTTGTTCTACATAGGTTATGTTTTAGTCCTAAAGTGTGGTTTAAAGCAGTGGATCCTAACTAGGGTGTCCCTTGAGGGTACCTCTTGGAAGTTTGTGGACAGGTTTTTGGTGGTTACCGTGAAGGAGGTTTTATCATCCATAAAATACATTTCACTTTGGAAGAGCAAAGGGGGCGTTACCAGGTATTTGCTCTAGAAAAGGAGTACAGGGTCTGGCAGGGTTGCAAACCTCTGCTCTAAAGGGTGGCTGATGGTAACAGCCGTAACAGCTTTGTTACGCTATGTTGATGGTGTTGGGCTGTTTTGATTTGGGGGAATTGAGGAGGACGGGGTGATCGGGGTTCCCTGACCCGGTGTTCCAGTTTGAGCCCATAACGGGCTGGAAAGTGGAGAACACGACCAGAGACCAGGGGTTGCCTGGTGTCACTGATAAGACAACACTCTGTCAGAACCCTGCGCTCCTGGACATGGCCAGCTCTCTTGTCCTCAGGACCTCTAGTGACTCTGGGGTCGGCCGGTCTGGCTCTGTGACTTGTGTGGACTTCTGCTGGCTGAGCTTTTGTCTGCTCAGCCACCTTCCTGAAGCACATTCCTCCACACCCTCTGGACCGACATGGGCGGCATCTGCCTCTGTTCTCCTTAAAGCGAGTTTTGTCAGGCTTGCTGCCTTTGAACTGTTTGGTAATGCCCTCCGGAGCCTTTGGGGATTGCCACACCAGCCCCGTCAGGTTTTCCTTGAGAGCTGCTATTATTCACAATAACATTATTTAAAATAGCACTTATTCTCACACAAAGGGAATGATAACAGTAATAGTGGATTTTTATTAGCACAGAACCATGTACCAGGCACCATGTTAAGTGCTTTAATGCTTATAGGAACACCATGGGGTAGGGGATCTTCATTTTCATATGGAAAACGTGAGGCTTGGAGGGTTTCGGGACTTGACGAAAGGTCCCATGGCTACTAAGTGACGGAAGCAGCAAGTGAGCACATATCTGTTAGCTGGAAAACCTGTGCTTACGTCACTGTTGCCCGCACTCCTGAACCATTGATCTAGAGAAGTAATGCAACTTACAAGGTTTTTGTTTGTTTGTTTGTTTTAACTGTTCATCCAATCTAAAAAGGCTGAAAAGCCTTAGTACAGGTCATAGCACCTCAAAACCCAGTGAAAGAGTTATTGTGGGTCCCCAAGGGCCATTTGCATGACGGGGATGGGGGAGGGGAGCTGCGGGCCATCCTCAGGCTGGAGCAGGCAGGCTTTCCTCCAGTGGCGAGGGATGCCAGCCAAGGCCAGGAGGAAAACAATTCTCCTGAGGATTTGCTGCCTGGACCCTTTCCCGCATATGTATTTTTTCTCTGGTTGAAGTTCAGGGCTACACTTCCTGTTCATTCCAGTCAGAAAGTTGGCAGCTCAGTCAATGATTTCCTGCACCTTGATGATAAATGGTTTTCCTCTTTAAGAGATAAATTTGTATTTTGGAGGTTTCAGTGTACTTTGATTTCTCTATAATGGAATTTCATTCAGATGAGTTTCCCAGCTGTGACCTGTTCCAGGGCTTTTGGCCAAGGTAAATTGTGCTAATGAGGAATAAAAGAAACTTCAAGAAAATCATGTGCTCCTAAATTTCAGTCATGGATGAGGCCTTGGGGATCATCTAGTCCAGCCTTTTCACTTTATAGATAAGGAAATGGAGACCCAGGGAGAGAAGGAGGAGAATGTCCAGGATCACGTCACCACTTCTGGCTCTTTCTCCTGAAAGTACATCCACTGAAGGGTGTGAGGATGGTATTTTTCTTGTTTCTTTTTTCTACAATTTTATTTATTTGAGAGAGAGAAGGTGAGAGCGAGCACATGCGTGTGTGGGCACGAGTGGGGGGAGGGGCAGAGGAGGAGGGAGAGGTGCCAAGCAAGCTCCCTACTGAGCACGGAGTCTGATGTGGGGCTCGATCTCATGACCCTGAGATCGTGACCTGAGCTGAAATCAAGAGTTGGCTGCTTAACTGACTGAGCCACCCAGGTGCACCGAGGATGGTATTTTTCTAAGATCTGTTATGTCAAAAACTTGTCAACGCAAAATTCCAGTGCACGCTAGTCTGAGTTGCCAGTAAATAGACGTCTTAGAATTTATTCTTAAGACTTTTCGCTATATGTGCTAGACACAGATTTTTTTTTTAAGATTTTATTTATTTGACAGAGAGAGAGCACAAGCAAGGGAGGTGGCAGTGGAGGGAGAAGAAGAAGCAGGCTCCCCGCTGAGCAGGGAGCCTGACATGGGACTCAATCCCAGGACCCTGGGATCATGACCTGAGCCGAAGGCAGACGCTTAACTGACTGAGCCACCCAGGCGCCCCAGATTTTTTCTTTTAAGCTAGGGAGCTTTGTGGTTTGTAAATGGTCCCTGTTTTTCTTATAAAAGTCTTCCACGCTCAACCTTGTAGAACAGGGGTTGGCAAGCTGGGTCCTGTGAGCCAGATGGGTCCACTGCCTGTTTTTGCAAATCAAGTTTTATTGCTGTACAGCCACGCCCATTCCCTTACCGCTTGTCTACAGGGGCAGACCTAGGGAGCTGCGGAGGTCCGAGGACCTGCAAAACCCAAAACATTTGCACTCTCACCCTTTACAGAAAACGTTTGCTAGACCCTGCTGTACAACATCTGAAAAAAGTATAGAAAAAAGTAACACTAAGAAAATAGTTATCCATATCTGACCCTCGGGGACTGAGATGGATTCTCATTTTACCATTCTCCTGGCTAAATGTTTGTCAGATTTCTGTTATTGCCTAAGCATAAATTGCTAGAAGTGGAATTCCTGAGCCCGTGAGCGTGAGTGGGTTTGAGACTCCCAGTACTCGGTGCACAACTCCCAGCTCGCACACTTGTCTGCAGTTCCTGTACTTCGCCAGCATTCACCAAACAAACGAGAGCTCCTTGGCTAACAGTTTGGTTTGCTTTCATTGATTCAGGGGCAGGTTCAAGGCGGTGGTCTGCGTCCTTTCTGCTGTCACGACTTGCCTGGCGTTTGTCAAGCCCGCCATCAACAACATCTCTCTGATGACCCTCGGGGTTCCTTGCACTGTGCTGCTCATTGCAGAGCTAAGAAGGTGGGTGCCTTTGTTTTTCCCACCTGCCCCTTAGGCTGTCCCTGGGTTGGGAACACAGCAGCTTCTGTTTTTGTCTTTTTTAGATTTATTTGAGAGAGAGAGAGAGAGAGAGCGTGCATGAACAGGGAGAGGGCCAGAGGGAGAGGGAGAATCTCAGGCCAAATCCCCGCTGAGCGCAGAGCCCAACAGAGGGCTCGATCCCACGACCCTGAGATCATGACCTGAGCTGAAACCAAGAGTCGGTTGCTTAACCGACTGAGCCACCCAGGCGCCCGGCTTCTGTTTTTTTTTTTTTTTTTTTTTTTTTTTACTGCCCTCAAGTGTGGAAGCAGAGTTTGACTCTTCAAGTAGAGTTAGTTCCTGACTGTTGGATTGGAAACACATTTGATGGTTTGGCTCAAAATGTTAATCTCACTTCCAGAAAGAGGGGAGCGGCTGGTTAGTGGATGCAGTGCATCCCAATGATCCGAAGCTAGCTTAGCAGGAACATCTCAAGGACCTGGTGAGTGCCTAGACCAGCCTGTGAGACTTATTTCTGTACAAAGAATAGATTTGTTCATATGAGAAGAATAAGAAGAAAAGTCCTAAAGAGGCCATTGCATTCACACACAGAAGGAAAAACAAACGTCTCTATACAAGGCAACATTGACTGGAGGCATAATACTGTTGACTGTGCTAGTCTCTCGGACACTTAGTTACTTATTTGCAACCTATCCGGTAAAGCCTTTGCTATTTGCTTAAGGATTTTCCTTTGGAAAGTTCTGTACTCAAGTTCAGGTTGATATCTAGAAACAGTTTAGCCTTGTGTGTACGTGACTTCTTCTTTAACCCCAAAATACATCAGACCTTATTGTAGTACTCAGAAAATGTTGCTTTTTCTTTGTGCCCATCTTTAGCAGTGCATTTTAATTCATGACTTTCTCACTGTTACAGACATGGTATTTAACCGAGGTCTCATATCTATCTTCCTTTGTGTGAGAGTTGCTCGTGTGTTGACAGCTTTCTCTCAGTCTTTGTTTTGAGAGGAGATACATGGTTCTTCCCACTGCTTTGCCTCTGGGGGCTGCCTTCGGCTCAGGTCACGATCCCAGGATCCTGGGATCGAGTCCCGCGTCCCCTGCTCAGCGGGGAGCCTGCTTCTCCCTCTGCCTGCCACTCCTCCTGCTTGTGCTCTCTCTCTCTCTGACAAATAAATAAAAAAGGCTTAAAAAAAAAAAAATACTGGCTGGCAGACGAAGGATGCTGTCCGGTCTTGTCTTGTTGGCTTTCCTCAGTAGCCTTGAAGGAGTGGAAAAATAAGAGACTGGTTTCAGAACGCTAACAGGATTTTGAAGCTCTTCGGAAAACACACAAATTGCCAATAAAGAGATCTGAAATGAATTTGTAATAGTCCAGGGGTACTGGCTTATATTAGGCCTGAATTGAATAGAATGTTCAGGACCTAGCTATGTTTCTTGAGAATTCATTGCAATCTAGTTCATTTTAACTCTTGATACTATGTTTTAGCCGAAAATTTTGTTAGGAAGTAGCTTAAGGAAAGGGAAAATATTTTTAACTCATAATATTTAAACAAGAACAAATGAAGGAAGACAGTGGTTAGGGCAGATTGCGGTTTAAATAAATTATGCTTCAAGAGTGTGACCTTTAAACAGGGAAACATTTTCCTTTTTTTTTATTTTTTATTTTAAGATTTTATTTATTTATTTAAGAGAGAGAAAGCACACAAGCAGGGGGGAGGGGCAGAGGGAGAAGCAGACTCCCCGCTGAGCTGGGAGCCCAGCACAGGACTCGATCCCAGGACCCTGGGATCACGACCTGAGCCAGAGGTAGACGCTTAACTGACTGAGCCACCCAGGCACCCACATTTTCCTGTAATACTCTTGATCTTTGTACATGATTACAAAGGAAATCATCTGTTTCATACTTAAAAATTTTTGCCCCTCGGGCGCCTGGGTGGCTCAGTCGTTAAGCATCTGCCTTCGGCTCAGGTCATGATCCCAGGGTCCTGGGATCGGGCCCCGCATTGGGCTCCCTGCTCCGCGGGAAGCCTGCTTCTCCCTCTCCCCCTCCCCCTGCTTCCGTTCCCTCTCTCGCCGTGTCTGTCTGTCAAATAAATAAATAAAATCTTAAAAAAAAAAAAATCTTTGCCCCTGAAAAGCTAGCCCCACTGCAGCTCATTGGGTCTCCATCATTACATTTACAAATGGCAGCATCATGGGAAGTATCCCTCCTTCCTGCCGGGGTCTGTCTTTCTGCCTATGGATCATTTCCTCCATTCTCCTATACATACTTTACTCCTTCCTGTAACTAGTCTACTGGGGCCTCACCCCTCCTTAAACCGTCCTTCCCATTGGCTTGTAAAAACACTTGAGCCTCTCCCATCTTCCCTAGCTCTCAGCCTGGGCTCAGTCCAGGTCTGTCTCCAACCACCACCTTTCTTTCTCTCAATTGTCATAGCCCAACGTCTTAGAAGTGCTTACTGTTATATGTAAGTGATCTCTATGCTCAACATGGGGCTCAAACTCAAGACCCCGAGATCAAGAGTCACACGCTCTACCAGTTGAGCCAGCCAGGCACCGCAGCCCAATGTCCGTAAAAGTTGTCTTCGTCCCTCAGCTCTCCTGTCTTCTTCAGCCCACTCCCACCTAGCTTCTGCCCCACTTCGATACCTAAGTCCGCCTGGGTTGTATGCCCAGTGATGGTTCTTCTGTAAGAGTGCTCTTCTCTCAGCTGCTTGCACAATTCACCACCCCTCATCCTTGACATGTTCTTCCCCATGCTTCCTAGGACGCCGCACCTGCCTGAGATTCCACTCACTCTTTGGCAGCTTCTCTTCAGTCTCTCATGTGAGCTCCTTGTTTGCTACGCACCTTTGCATGTAAGGGTCCCTTAAGGGGGGACCTCTCACTTCGGCTTTCCTCCCTCTACACTTGGCCCTGGAGGATCTCACGGACAGCCATGGCATTCGTTACTGAACACGTGCAAATGACTCCCAGGTGTGTGTCTGACTCTGTCCTTCCTTCTACCTCCACCACGGCGCATCTAGCCTCTGACTCCACCTGTCACAGCTGTCTTGAATTCAACCAGATTCCTGATCGGACTTTTCTAGTTCCGGTTCTCTTAGTACTTCCAGCAAATGGGAGCACCACTTACCCATTTGCTCAAAGCAGAAGCCTGTTCCTTCTTTCTTCCCTGAACATCCTGTCTCTTCACTTTCATTTTTCTCTTAGTTGACATTACAATTGACATCAAGTTCAATATCCTCAATAGGGCCCCTATGTGCCTCTAATAGTCTTTTTTAGCTGACCTTGCAGTTAGAATGAATGTCAAAATCCTAACATGGCCCCCACCTGCTGATCTGTCCTGCACGAAGCCCCCCCCCCCATTCTGTCCGCTAGCTGTTCTGACCTTTCCTGGCCCCCAGGTCCTTGCTCCTGCTGTCCCTTCCTCTGACTCTCCTGCTTGGCTCACTTCTGGCTCATCGTTGACTCACCTGTTTGGCTCAGTTGCTCATAGCACCTCCAACTTCTTTCTGCACCCCTCCCAGATGTAACTGAAGAATTATTCGTGCTGGTTTTTTGTTTGGTGTCTGTCCCTTTTCTTGATATAGACTCCATGGACAGGAACAAGGCCCCTGTGTTCACTGCTGTGTCCCAGTTCCCCCTGAGTCCCAACAAGGAAAGAGAAGATGGTTGTTGGCCTGCTTTGATACAATTCCCAGACAGGGGATGCCCTTACTGCTCTTTGCATTTCCTTCCGGGACCTTCCCTGCTGACATTAGCGATAATCTGTAATGTAGCAGCTAAATATTTCTCCTCCGGCCTCCCTCTGCTCAAAGGAGCTAGGGAAGCTTTCTGTTTCTCATTAGCCTTGTTGCTAGAGCTTGTTTCTAGTTTTTTATTTTCATTGTCCTTTCTGAACTTTCTCTCAGACCATGTGGCAACAATATTTTATTTGGGGTTATGACCGGACATTTACTGAAATTTGTGTTGTCATATTATGAAGTGACTCAGCTGCATTTAATATATTTTAAAGTAGGTTTTTTTTTTTTTTTTTTTTCCTGATTATAGGAGTGAGTCTGTTAAGGACAACTTTGAGAATACAACAAAGGGTTAAGAAAAGGAGAACAGATACCAGCTCAGATTTTTTTATCCTATAATAGGGTCCTGTTGTATCTATCACCTTTGATCTGTTTTTTTCATTTAATCTCACGTTGATATTTTGGTAGGAGCCCTGAGAAGTGGGAATAAAACCCAAAGGAGCCCGGGTTTGGGCAAGACCCAAATGCAGATAGGCCTGGTCAGCAGCAGGTAGCAGGAGAGGAAGGGACCGTACCAGGCCACCCTGAGACCCTGACTTTGCAGGGCTTTCCCCCCACATGACTCATCCCTGGCAAGAGAGACAGAATGTCACTCGACACAGGCACTGCCTCTCCAGCATGCTGTGTTCTGGGGTGTTCCTTAACTCAAGGTTTCTAGGTTTAATTGAATTGAGTGTACATGGGTTCTCTTGTACCAAATTGTCTATAGTTGTTGGCACTTGTTTGTCCGTTTTCATTTTATCTTTTAAAATAGCAAGGCAAGAGGCCTTTTCATTTTGCCTTTCACAGTGCCTAGCATGCATTCAGAGAATTTGGTACCCAATCAACGTGGGTACTGTTTTAAAAAAAAAAAAAAAATCTGGGAAAAAATGTGCTCCTTAGATCACTGGAATCCAATTAACATTTTCCTTTACTTCCTTGTTTTATTTATTCATTCAGCTGGCATTTATTTCATGCCTCTTCTGGGTCATACACCGTATATACTTGGTGAAAAGCAGGTAGAGTTCCTACTCTCGCCGAGCTTACGGTCTACTCGGATATTAGACCTTCAACAAGTAACTACACCAATGAAGACGATGTCAGTTTGTGTTGAGTGTTATGAAGGAAGATGGCTGGTGCTCACGGTGCGGATGACGTAGTAGGGGTGGGGGCTGTCGGAGAAAGTCTATTTGAGAAGGCGCCCTGGAAGCTGAGACCTGAGAAGGCAGAGAGAGCTGAGCTGAGAGGGAGGAGGAGCCTCTGTGAGGGCGAGAGGTTCAACAGAGCTAAGTAGGAATTTAGTGCCTCCAGCCCTGGGCCTCTGTTGTTTCAGAAATTTTTTTTCAAGGAATACATTTAGCTCTCCTCCAAAAGGGCATTTGTTTTGTTGAGTAGGCCTTTATGAACCTACTGCCCATCCTGGTTTCGCTGATGCTTCCTCAGGCGGCTGGGAAAGGTACCAACCAGTCAGGTTTCTGACACTTGTACAACAAATTTGAACAAATAGCTGCGGCCCCTTCTCGGGGGGCAGATGTTACGTTGGACTCTGGGTCCCAAGGGAGAGCTTGACTGACCTGGGAGTGGTCTGTGGAGGGAAGGAGTCCCTGAGGGAGGGCCAGGAAGGACCCTCAGCCACCAGCTGCCTCGGGGCCTTCCCACCCTAGGACTGGAAGTCACCCCCTCCCCGCTTTATGAACGGTTCAGGAACAAGGAAAGGAAATGGAAATGGAAATTTCTCTGGGCTGTTAACTGAAAAACGTTTCTGAAAAACGTTTTGTCCTGGCATATGTGAGAGCTCTTTCATTCAGCACATAGTGGGAGCCTTCTGTGTGTCCCCCGCTGTTCCAGGGGAAGACCAACTGTCAACAGGGAAAACATGGAGGCTGCTGGAGGGGTTATAATCCCTACAGAGAACTTAGAGGAGAGAAGAAGGAAATGGTGGGGGCAGCGTTGCTTAGGGGGTGGAGACCCGTGGTGCAATTGTTAACAGTGGTCAGGAAAGGGTTTACTGAGGGACATTTGAGCAGAGACTCGGGAGTCGGTGAACCAGGTGGTTATGTGAGGAAGAGCATTCCAGGTGGCAGGAACAGCCAATGCTAAGGTCTGGGGAACATGACGGGGCTATTTGAGGAGCGCAGGGATCCTTGGGGGGGCGGGGAATTGAGGAGAGGCAGCGAGGGGCAGAGTATGTAGGAAAACAGGAGTTCATTATGGACATGTTAAATTTAGGTCTGTGTTACACATGGGTGGACATGTCCAGAAGGTAGCTGCATATGTGAGTCTCGAGTCAGGGAGAGGCCTGGGTGAGAACACGGCTTTGGGAGTCATCTGTGTATGTACGTATGGTATCTATATCCACAGGCTTGTGGGGTGACAGGATGTTGGGTGGGACCTCCAGGGCCGAGGGGCTGGGGTGGGGAGGTGTGAGGAGCCAGAAGAAAGGGGCCAGCAAGGTGGGTGACAACCCAGACTGAGGGTGACTTGCTTTCTGGATCCCTGTGCAGGTGTGACAACGTGCGTGTCTTCAAGCTGGGCCTCTTCTCCGGCCTCTGGTGGACCCTGGCGCTCTTCTGCTGGATCAGTGACCGAGCCTTCTGTGAGCTGCTTTCGTCCTTCCACTTTCCCTACCTGCACTGCGTGTGGTAAGCCCCAGCCACCGGACGGGGGTCTGCAC